GCTTCCAAAATCACGTCTACATCATGAGTTTTCACTCATTAAGTAAGGTCAGCAAAAGTGGGCACACTCCAGCTCCTGTCAATTAAGCAATCGTCCCTTTGGAACGATCTCCCCGTGGAGATTCGTACCCTCACCACCGTCCAGACCTTCCGCACAGCCCTTAAGACCTGGCTAGCCCGTCAGGCCTGGGGACAAAGATAACTGTCCCCACCCGAATGATGAATGAATGTTGCTTACTATTTTACTTCTACGTATTGTTTGTGTCTATTGTCTGTATACCCCCCCCCCCTCATTTTATGTAAGCCGTCCTGAGTCCCCTCAGGGAAAAGGGCGGCCTATAAGTATTAATAAATACTCAAATACTCAAATACTCAATATCATCTTGTGGGAATTAGGAAATGGCTCTTTGGTGGTGCTTCTGCCTCTGAAATTCTACCCCTACCAGCAGAGACCATTTGACTTTCCTAGACTGTTAAAGGCCTGGTTGTGAGCACTTACCTCCCTGGCTTCCAGTCAATTACTTTATTTTTTCTTGGCATATCTGTTTTTCTTTTCATTTTCATCAGAAAGCTGTAAAGAATTGCTATGGAGCTGGATGACCTCGAAGCTGAAATAATGAATGAAATAATAAGGAATTCAAACAGAAAGTTCAGACGTCACAATTGTTGATAACAAAGACAAAAAAGTCTGGATAGTGGATGCGGCAGTACTGGAAAGAACAGTGTAGAAAAGAAAGAACTGGAGATAATCACAAAATACTTGCAAATAGAAAAAGAATAATGTGGCAAAAGAAAATAAATATACAGTACTGACAATAACTACAGGTGCTTTGGTTACAATCCCAAAACAACTGGCGCGCTATTTGAATACCATCTTCATTAACAAAACCACCACCACGTCAATTTCAAAAGACAGCTTTATTTGGAACATTTTGTATCTTGCGAACATACCATTAACCCCATCAACAACATTTGCCTGTGCCTCGGTCCTTGATAATTTGGAAACAGTAAAAAAATGCCAAATCCCATCTAAAGAACTGGCTGACTGTGCACTCCTCTATAATAATAATTCATATTACTAAACTGGGAAAAGAAACACCAAGAAATAAAGTTGCAGTAACTATGCAAGATCATAGAACATCCTATCTTATTGGGGAAAAAATCATTCTGTATATTTTCTTGTCTAAATTTGAATTTGTTAAAAAATGTGGGGCAGCAGACAGCCCTATTTTTTAAATCTAGTTTTCTTTTTCTTCTTCTGCTTTTATACTGTAAAAGGACGCCTGCTTTTTCTTTGACTTTTGTTGTTTATTTAGAACTCTTTATCTTCTGCCATTTCATTTTGATAAAGGATATATTTATTTCTAAAGATCATACTTAGATTCCAGCATGGTTGCATCTGATTCATGCATTTGGACTGTGGGATACTCTGTTAATCATTAGAAATTATTGCAGTAGGGAGGTATTTATTACAAACTCATTATTTTATTGGATTAAATTTATTAATTTAGGTATATTTATTCCATATCTTTTCCAAATAATTATATTAAATTACATTAAATAAATTACATATACAGATACATATCTGGATATTGACAGAGAGGTTTATTAAGTCTTATCCTATGTGCTCAACATGAATGTTATTTTTAAGATATGTTATTTGTTTGTTCATTTATATCCTGCCTGTATTATTTTTACAAATAACTCAAGATGCCAAACATACCCAGTGCACTTTCTTCCTCCTATTTTTCCCACAGCAGCAACCACATGATCTGGGTTTGACTGAGAAAGAGCAACCAGCCCAATCTGCCTTTCAGAGCTAAGGTAGACTTGAACTCATGGTCCCCCACGCTTCTAGCCTGGTGCCTTAACCACTGGATCAAACTGGGGCTCTCTATGTATTAATAAAATATAATAAATAATATAAAAATAAAGTATACTTTTCATGGAGTTCCCTTGCCTAGATAAATGTTAAAAGCTCAATATACTGTTCTATTCTATAAATCCTTGTGAATGTCTTAAATTCTGAAGGTATCATTTTAATTGTTAGTTAAGGGGTGGAGTTTCCTGAATCTGACACTATATACTTATGTTATTGGTATTGATTATTATTAAGTATTCAGCTTAAGGACCTCGCGGTTGCCATGGTTCGGACACAGCAATTATGTTATTGTAAATAAAAGTAACACTACTCATGTCATTAATAGCAATAGCAGTAGACTTATATACCGCTTCATAGGGCTTTCAGCCCTCTCTAAGCGGTTTACAGAGAGTCAGCATATTGCCCCCAACAATCTGGGTCCTCATTTTACCTACCCACCTCGGAAGGATGGAAGGCTGAGTCAACCCTGAGCCGGTGGGATTTGAACCGCTGAACTGCTGATCTAGCAGTAGCTTGCAGTGCTGCATTTAACCACTGCACCACCTTGGCTCTTAAGTATGTCTTTTAAGTATATTAAGTATGTCTTTTAACAAGCACTGTATTTTGGACAACTTATGCACTCCTAAGATGCACTCTTTTTCCTGGGAACTTTTGAAATATTCATACACAACACCTCTAATTAATTGGTAATGTCAACTGTCCAGTTGGCAAATCCAGAAAAGGAACTCCTGGGACATTATTTTACCAAGAGTATAAAACTTTACTGTATAAACCACATTGACATAGAAGAAGAGAAACCAGCTTTGAGTTTCTCACTCAAAAGGAAGCATAGTTACTTCCCCCTTTTCCAAACGGGCCACCCACAGCCCAAAACATCCACTGATCACGCCTGTTCATTTTTTAAATAGGAAACAAGACAGCCATGCTGGGACATTTGCTCGGTGGCCCTTGAGATGTCTCCCAGGGCCTTCGGAAGCTTGGATGCCATCCACCCCCTCCCTGTTATTATCAAGCTGCGAGCAAAGAAAAAGATGTAGATTAAAGCACGAAGGTCTTTTTATAGTTGAAGATATATCCCTTATTGCTATATCTCTATCAATTTGTAATGGTGGCATGCCAGTGGTGTAAAACAGCATTTTTTCATTTTTTTCTTATACAAAAATCATACTGTGAAATCATACTGCGAAAATACGCATCTTAAACATGATTTTTTTTTAAATAAAAAAAACCCTGATGTGGAAGATTTAAGTTTTAAGTTTTTTTTCTTTATCCATAACAGAACAATAATTTCCTTTGCTAAGGGATTAAAAAAATGTCATTGATTTGTTGCCACCCACTGGCTGTATTAAGAACTGCAGTCTATGCCAACCTCTCAGTTGGTGTGGGTGGCATCTTCAGCAATAATTATTCGATATGATCATTAAATCTTAGAACCCCCCACTTTAATCATAAAAACATTTTAATCAATAATTACATTTGATATGCAGACTTTAAAGCCCAAATGGAACAACAAATTGGAGATTTCCATTTTGCCTACACAATGGGAAAGTGTCTTAATTGCTTTATCAAAACTGTGAATCTCTGTGTCTAGAAAAGGAATAGTTGTTGGATGCTATGAAAATAAGGCTTATTAAACTATTTTGCAATTTCCTAAAATTATTATGTTTTGAGAAGATGTCATGAAACATTTTAACTTGATTTTGAGATGGGGACTTTGAAGTATTTTCAAATTTGAAGTATATACCTATTACTAAAATGAATTGCAGAACAATGGAAATAATTTCCATTGCAGATTATGACTGGATGATTATAAAGAAATTTGGCCATTGTTTACTGAAACTTGTGTAAAACATTTAGGTTGAAGTCTTCATCCATCTGTCCCTTGCAAAGCCCTTTTTCAGTACAATAATATGCTGAACAATAGTACAATAGTTTCAGCCTTCAGCTATATAATTATTTATGGAGTACTGTTACTCTTTTATTCTAGATCTTCCAACTGCTACAACATTTATTCAGATTCAATTTATACTACATATAAAAACCCAAAACCTCATCTATATGCCATTAAACCTGAAGCAAGTCTCACTTTACAAATAATACAGTGGGTGACTAAACCTTGATGAATGCATGTTGCAACTAAAAAAAAAACACTTCAGCAAATTTCAAAGTAAATTTGCTCCGATTTCAAAACGCAGGCAATGTAAAACCTATCAGGGTGATGTTTCGTTAGAGGGAAAAAAAACCCGAAAGGAGTATCAGCTCTTAAATTAAATTCTAATACATAAATTTATATTAATTATGTTTAAATAAAAATAAAGAGTTCCCAGTCAGATTTCCCCGCACTTAGCTAACCCAGTGTTTCTGAAGTGGGCAACTTTAAAATGTGTGGACTTCAGCTCCCAGAATGTCCCAGCTGGCACCCAGGAATGCTGGGAGGTCAACGTCCACCCTGCCTTCAACATGAATTCGCCGCTGGAGGATTCTGGGAGTTGAAGACACACCTCAAAGTCGCCAGGGTTGAGAAGCGCTGAGCTAAACCAGCCTTTCCCAAACTCGGCGACTTTAAGTCGCGTGGACTTCAGCTCCCAGAATGCCCCCGACGGCACGCAGGAATCGACGGACACGCCGCCTTCGAGCCGGCAGCCGGGGAGCCTCGCCCCACAAATGCTGCACCCCCACCGTCTGACGCAGCGGCTGGGCGGGTCCCTCACAAACCTCGCAGCAACGGCGCGCGACTCTCTCTTCTCGCGAGAGGCGTGGCTGTGGGACCGGGCGGCCAGGCGACGCGGAAGTGGCGGAGCGGAGGCGGAGAGGCGGGCGGGCGCCGTTGGCCGCTTGGCGGGGCTTCCTGCTCTCTCCTTCCCGGCGGTCGCCCAGCCTCGCGCGCTCCGCCGCAGCCCCAGCCCGCCCGGCGGGAGCGGCGGCCGGCACCCTGGGCGGCAGCTGCCCCGGCCTCGCCCGGCTCTACCCACCGGGCGCTGCGCTTCGCTCTTCAGAGGCTCCCGCGGCGGCCGCCCCCCCTGCGCGCCCTTCAGGCGGCGGCGCCTCGGAGCCCGCCGCCCCGAGGCCCCTGGGTGCCGGCTGAGAGGCGGCGCGGGCTGCCGGGCGCTGCCGGGTTTCTGCTCGGGAGCGGCGCCAGATCCGGGGCGCGGAGGCTGCGACCGTCCGGCGAGGGGCCCCTGCGCTGCCGCGCGGCCCGGGGTCGAGGCGGCGGCCGATGAGCTCGGCGCCCTTCCACGCTGCCAGGTGCTGAAAGAGCCGCCCGGCCTGCCCCATGGTGGGGTTCGGGGGCAACCGACGGGGCGGCCGCCTCCCTTCCTTCCTCTTCGCGGCGCTGCTGCTGGTCATCGCGGCGCTGGCCTTCAACTCCTGGAGCTCGTCGTCCCGCCAGACGGTCCTGCAGGAGGAGGTGGCCGAGCTACAGGGCCAGGCCAAGCGGGGCGATGTGGCCCGGGGCCGGCTGGAGAAGAGGAACTCTGAGCTGCTGCTGCAGGTGGAGGCCCACAAGAAGTCCCTGGAGCAGAGGGAGGCCGACCACAGCCAACTGAGCGGGCAGCTGCAGGCCAAGGACGGCCAGGTCCGCAAGTGTGAGGATGGCAAGGTGAGAAACCCACCTCAACCCCCGGCTGCGACGGTTCGGTGGGGCTGCTGAAGGAAAAGGCGGTTTTTCCTGGCCTTTGAGAGGTGGAGGGCCAGAGATGCCTTGATGCCTTTCCAATGCTAAGCGTGGCTTCCCTGGAGGACAGGAAGATTCCTCCTCTTGATCTAATGGGTATGGGCCCCATCCCAAGGCAAGTGGGCAGGAAAATGATGCCTAAAATCATTACCAGCACTACGGACAGTGCTCAACTTACAACAGTTCATCTGCTTCAGAAGGATGGAAGGCTGAGTCAGACTTGAGCCTGGTGAGATTTGAACTGCCGGCTGCCTGTGATTTGGCACTTCAAATCTCATCAGGCTCCAGATTGACTCAGCCTTCCATCCTTCTGTGGTCAGTAAAATGAGGACCTGGATTGTTGGGGGCAAGAGGCTGACTCTAAACCACTTAGGGCTGTAAAGTGGTATATGTCTAAGCGCTACTGCTATTTAGTGACTGTTCAGAGTTACAGTGCCACTGAATAAAAGTGACTTATGACCGTTTTTCACGGTTAGTAGCAGACCTTTGCAGCATCCCCACATTCAGGTGCTCAAAATTCAGGGCTTGGCAGCTGATGCATATTAATTATGATTGTCGCGTCCAGGAGTCATGTGATCCCCTTTTGTGATGTTCTGATCAGCAAAGTCAATGGGGAAGCCAGATTCACTTAACAACTTCAATGATTCACTTAACTGCGGCAGGAAATGTCATGAAATAGGGCAAAACTCACTGAACAAATGTTTCACTTAACAAATTTTGGAATCAGTTGTGGTCCTAAGTGTAAGATGCTGTAACCAAACAAAACGAACAGGGGAAGGGAGGTAATGCAGCTGCCCCACCAGCTCCCCAACCCCTGGGGTCAGGATATGCTTCAGGATATAGTTCAGGATATGCTTCAGTTCGTTCTTGTGAAGCAAGGATTTCAGTCCCTACTTCAACTCTAGGCATCTGCAGGGAAAGCATGCTGCTTTCTGAAAATTATTTCTCGGGCACAGGGTGTGAGGTGGTAGCTGCCCTGGTCAGTTTAAAATACCTGCCTCCCCTTAAGAGGCGAGCCATAAAAAAAATAGCAGCATGTGTTTTCTAAGACATCAAGTGAAATACTTTTGTTTAAGCCAAAGGGGAAAAAAAGGATCTGAAAGTCTCATCCCTCCAGCGAGGACTTACATTCTCACCCCATCTACCTCTGAGACTCTCGGCAAAAGAATGGCCTGCCCCTAGTCGGAGCTGTCTTCAGAAACATTCGCTGTAGAGAATTTTATTCTCGGAACAGGAATCTGTACTACTTCACTACTTATTTTTTGTTTTTAGGTCAAACTTCAGAGCAACATATCATACCAGATGGCAGACATACGTCGCTTAAAGGGTAAATGTTCTTGGTGCAAATATGATTTTATAGCTAAATAACACAGAATAGTAAAAGATGCTCACTTGACGTTTTGGAAGACAGCTACAAGTGTAACCTCTCCTACTCTTTGTGGACTGTTGTAATTTTTCTTTTAAATATTTGCCTACATAAATAGTATAAATGTACTAGAATATGAAACATTAAAAATAGGCAGCATCTCTGAAAAATATCCATTATCTTCTGGACTTTTTAAAAATGGGCCTCAAGTATCAAAACAGCCTCTATTGTTTTGTAACAAAGTAGCTTTGGAATAAGGATTCAGAAAGGTATATTTTGTTTTATTTTACTTCAGTAACATAGATATGGTGTGTGTGTGTGGTGTGTAAAACATTATCTACATATATACTTTGTTTCCCTGAAATAAGACCTCCTTGGATAATAAACCCATTTGGGCTTTTGAGCACATGCACTTAAATAAGCCCTGCCTCGAAAATATTGCAACACAGCAGCAGCCATGAGGTGACCATGCCTTCTGCACCTCAAAATTAATACTCCCCCCCCCCCCCGAAAATAAGCCCAAGCTCTTATTTTGGGGGTCAAAAGAAAATAAGTCCCTATCTTATTTTCAGGAAAACACAGTACTATTGTGGAAAATTACCCAGCCAAAAACAAGGCTAAGTTTAAAGTATGGAGCACTTTTTAAAAATTATTCAAATGATTTTACTTTGGCTTAGAACAACTTGCTGAATTGCGTCAAGAATTCTTACGGCAAGAGGACTATCTTCATGAATACAAGAAAAACAATACACAACTCCTTAAAAGATTGGAGTATGAAAGGTGAGAGTTTAAATGTGAACAAAAGTAACCCAGTTATAAGACATTTTATTGTTGCCAGGTCAGCTCATTTGTTTATGACCTTTAGGATCAGCGTTGAGTAATAATCTTTCACGGTTGTTGTATAAAATAGGTTAAGATGTTTGGCCTCAGCTGTGTTTGATGCGTCAGTACAGCTTTATAATTAAGGAGGAGGAGAATGGAACACATTTTGCTTTGCTTGTTTGTACAAATAAAATCTGCAAGTAGAATACAGTTCTCCAAAGTAAATAGACAATGTAAAATGATCAATTTACTGGTGTTTACAGAGAGTGCTGCAGTAGTATTTGAGTTCATGACTGATCAAGATTTTTGTGAAGGAGTTCCTCAAAAATGTTAGAGACCCTGCCTGTCTGCCTCACAACTCTCCTGTTTGCCTGTGACCTTTATCTGGGTCAAGTGTTGATCTTTCTGCCGTACAATTCATCATAGCCTATTTTCAAGGCAGATACAGCTCTCAATCGCCCTGAATTTTGAAAAAGAACTTTTCAAGTATACTAGGACCTCTGCCATTTTTGAAAGCATTGAGGAATCTGGTAAGGAAGTATCCTGAAACAATGACCCATGGATATCGGGTTGTCTTGGTTTCCTATAAAGGTCTTTTAATGTATTAAGTATGTTATGCAGAAAAGAACTATACTAGGCAGATCATAAATGATGCAGTGGGAAGCCTAGAAAAAATGTCAATCTCAGTTCTAAATTCCACTCCATCTTGGTTCTAGTTTTCAGTGTGGGCAACAAATCAAGGAACTAAGAATACAACATGAAGAAGATATGAAAAAAATGGAGGAACAAGTTATGAAGGACCAGAAGGTACATTGTTCTCTTTGCGAGGGGTGAATCCAGGAGTCTTCTGCCTGTTTTTGCTCCCTCCCAACATGGGTATAAGATGGGACTGGCAAGGAGCAGACTTGGTAACACTAGTTGCTGTATCGGGGTAGAGTTTTTATTTTGTTACACTTGGGCTGTAAGAAAGTAGATGAGGCAAAGGTGAAAGACAATTTCTATACGTTGATTCTAACAATGAAATATAAAGCATTGGATTGACTGAAAGATAATGTTTTCCTTGTAAGTTTAGCTTTTAATGCTTAAGGAACATTTTCACAGCAGGCCACCCACAGGAGCCAATTCACCAAAGACATTGAGAGAGGATTGAGTGAGAGTCCAAAAGTAGTGAAAACAACTCAAAAACTGAACGAAGTTAAGAATGAAGCACCATCGACCAACAATATATCAGATGGCAAAGGTCTGTGTGGGACAACTGTGGTAAGGCATCAGGGTCCCTCTGGCACTCATGGGAGGATGGCAAATACTTGCCTGGCACGTTACGTGGCCAGGCTACAGACTTGGTGGCACTGCACACTTCAATCAGCAGAGCTTGGGAAGAGGGGAGGGGGTTTAATCTGACTGCAGCAGGAGGTTAGGCGAGGTAACTCTCCTCTGTTACCGTTCCAATTCCCTTCCCTGGAACAGACTGAAGGCTCCTCATCTTAGAGCTTCAGTGGATGGTGCAGCAAAGGGAAAAATATCTTGTTTTGACAGAAAAGATTAAACTCGGAGATGACGCAGGCATGCCTGGAATAGAAGAGAATGACCCTGCCAAAGGTGAAGATACACTCACTGGTTGGTATCTCACATCTAATGTTGGCTGTCTCCTGCATTTCTGCTCACTCCATAGACAGATACTTGAATTGATTAATGGGCCCCAGGATACTTAAAAATGCTACTCTGATAAATAAGATTGGCAGCACTGTTTCTGGGTTCTTAATTATGTTGCTTTTCAGTTGATGTTCACAGTTGGCACTAACCGCTTAATGTCCCATCCTGATCTGAAATATGAAAGATATGGGCTGTAAGGCAGGACTTCTTCATGGAAATCCTGACACCAGTTAGGAAATGTTCTAAGACCTTCCTTTTTAAATGGGTTGTAGTAAGAAGAAGAACCTTTTAGATTCTTTTTTGATCCTTAAAACTTGTGAGAGATTGCTATGTTGACAGAGGACTTCTGTGTATTGTCCGGTCCCAAGTTTGAGGCAATGTATATTTATTAATATATGCAGTGTTTTTTCTACAAATCTGGAATTTTTATTCATTGATTGTTAATACTGGTAGATGCTGTAATCAGCAAATCCTTCAGGGCTACTAGGATAAAGACGTGATTCTCTGATTTCCCCCCAGGAATTGGTATTATGATGGTTATAACTAGGGAGGCTTATGGTGAACATCTACATTTGCTTAGGGCCACAGCTGGATCTGTAAGTCTGTTTCATGTGGCAAACATTGGCCTTTAGCAGAATTATTCAGTTGAACTCTTTGAACCAAGTGCTAAATAATTGCTTTTTAATATGTTTAATTAGTATTTACAGATGTGAGTCATGGTATGGATTTGTGTTTTTAGCTTTGAAGAAGCCACTTTTTTCAACATCTCAAAATCAGCATCTGCCTGGTGGAAATGTTTTCACAGAGAAAACCCGTACAGGTGAGATCGTGTGTCCTGAGTGAAAGTGTTGTTGATTTGGCCTTCATCATGAGCTTTTCTCTGTGACCTTCAACTCTGGCTTTGCATTTTTGTCTGCTCCAGGTGCAAATGAGGGTAATACTGATATGGTAAACCAGGTGCCACCAAACTACCTTCAGCGGGCAATTCCTGATCACACATTGGACATTCCAAAACCCAAAAAACAGCTTGCAAAACAGACTTCCAAGGAGAGAGTCAACGACTTTCAGAGAATGAAGCAAAGTGAGTCAGTCCATGATAATTGAGCATAATTGCATGTGTTATCTCAAGTTCATTAAAACACCTAATATCTACCAGCTGGCTGTTTTAAGTATATTTGTATTCAGATGTCTTTGTTTTTAAAAATCTTAGCCATTAATTGCTGTACTATAAATCCATCTCAGAAGCTCAGAGCTGTATCTTCTAGCATTCATACCTGACCAAAAAAAAAAAAAACCTTCCTCCCACCTCACATATTAATTGCCTTCTTCAGAATCTTGAATTCATGATGTAAATTTGTGGAAGCTGCAAATCTACATCATGAACACAAAAAGATCTGCAGACCACTTTTACGCTGCCTAATGTCAGTGCGCATGATACCATGTGCCATAAGAAAAACACTGGATGAGAGCTAAAGGTGCATGGGAAGATGCCAAGGAGGAAGCCACCGGACTCCAGAAAGCACATTGCTGTTCAGCTCGAGTTTGCCAGAGAGCACTTGGGTGACCTAGCCAGTCACTGAAACAACGTTTTGTGGGCCAATAAGGAAAGAACTTACTAAATGCATTGGAGCTTAGAAACATCATGTTTGAAGAAAACAAAAACTGCAATTCAAGGAAAGAACCGCATGCTGCCTGTGAGGTGTGGGACTTGGAGAATCAAAGCCTGGAACAGCTTGGCAAAATCAGCAAGATTTTTCAGTGAGGACAAATTCAGAATCTAAGCTTTGGGTTGGAAAAAACGGCAGGTATAAAATGAAGAAAGCCGTATAGGTTTCTGGTTGTTTTGGTGTTTCACAAGCGAAATATGAACTAGCTCTGTGATTCAGTTGCAAAAAAATGCAAATGCAGTATTAGGCTATATTAACAAAATTTAGCATGGAGATCAAGGGAAATGATTCTGTGTTGATGAAATTTATTTATTTATTTACATCCCACCTAATATTTTTATAAACAACTCAAGGCAGCAAACATATACAGTACTTCTTCCTTCTATTTTCCTCACAACAACAAACTTGTGAGTTGGGCTGAGAGAGAGTACCTGGGCCCAAAGTCACCCAGCAGCCTTTTGTGGCTAAGGTGGGATGTGAATTCACAATCTTCTTACTAGTCTGCAGCCTTAACCATTAGACCAAACTGGCTAGATCTTTGTCTAGATCAAGGTTGTCAAACTCAAGGCCCGTGGGCTGGATGCGGCCCACAGGATGCTTAGATTTGGCTCACAGGGCTACCCTGGAAACAGTGAAGGACCGGCCTATGGTGCCTCTGCCAGCAAAAACGGAGCTCAGGAGACTGCGACGGCCTTCTGCAACCCTCTCCATTTTGGGCCACCATAGGCGCCCCTGACACGAGTGATGTCGAGCTAGCCACACCTACTCTGGCCACTCCCACCCAGCCCCCAAGGTCAAACACAACCCTGATGCGGCCCTCAATGAAATCGAGTTTGACAACCCTGGTCTAGACCTGTGGTGGTGAGCTTATGGCACGCATGCCAGAGGGGCACACAGAGCCCTCTCTGAGTACGTGTGCCATCACCAGTTGCTCTTCCGGTTTCTGGCACGCGCATGTGTGCCGGCCAGCTCATCTTTGTGCACCCAGAGTGCCAGAAACCCGAAAACCAGGTGGTTGGTGTGTGTATGCACACCGTCCAGCTGGTCTTTGGGTTTCCAGTGTGCACATGCACGCACACATTCCGGTTCGGGCACTTGGTGCCGAAAAGGTTCGCTATCACTGGTCTAGACCAGAGGTTCCCAAACTTAGCAACTTTAAGGACCTCTGGTCTAGACTATTGTATCCAATTCTGGCACAGCATTCAAGGAAAGACTCTGACCGATGGCAATATACCAGATACTAAGGGAACGAGGATGGGGAAAACTCTCGAGGAATAGTTGAAGGTGTTGAGTATAACCTGGAGAATACTATGCGGAGATGTGATTTATTTCTTGAAGTATTTTAAAGGGGTGTCAGCAATAGGTACAAGGAAGAGTTTAGTCACCCACATGATTGACCCAATTTTTACAACCTTGTTTACAGTGGGGATTAAGCAAATGGTTTGCTCTGGGTGTGTTTTTGCTGAAAACCAAAACTAAAGGCCTGTTTTCAGCAAAACCAACATAAAACATGGTTATGTGACCATGGGACACTGCAAATGGCCGTAAATAAGGCCCAGTAGCTGAGCATCAGACGTTCAGCCACGGGGCCACATGATTGTGGGGGGGAACTGTCGGAAGTTTGAATCTAGGCTGTAAGTACCCCAAGAGAGTCTGTCATAACTTCAAATGTTCAAATGCTCAATGACTGGTCATAAGTTGAGGACTACCTGTAGGTCCTTTTCAGCAATGGAAGAGGGTGCCTATTAAAGAGAGGCCTTTAAAGAGAGCCTGGAGGGCTCCCTCTTTGGGATGCTGTAGAAGCGGATTCCTGCCCTTGAGCAGAAGGTTGGATTGAATGATCTCTGGGTCCCCTCTGCACTTAGATTCTGATTAACAGGGTTTAGATAAAACTGATCTGAAGCTCAGCTTGAGACGTTTTGTACTGTACGATCTTTGAAACATAAAATGCCATTTTTGTGTATTTCAGTAATAGTAATAATAAGGTCCTCGGGAAGGACTGAATAAATGGACAAAATTGCCAAATCCAGTCTGAACATTTGACTGACTACGCAACGAACCATAATAACAGAATACAGAGTTGGAAGGGACCTTGAAGGTCTTCTAGTCTAACCCCCTGCTGAAGCAGGAAACCCTGTACCATTTTGAGCAAATGGCTGTCCAGTCTCTTCTTGAAAACCTAGTGGGATAGGGATAAGGGATAGAAAGGAATGGAATTGAATAGCAATAGAATAAATTGGCTAAGTGTGATTAGACACATGGAATTTGTCTCTGGTCCATATATTCTCAGTGTACAGACAAAGAACAATGCCATACTTATAGATCATAAATCACTAAATATAATCATAAGATTAAAAAACAAGTGGGAAATCATAAGTTACTAATAGGAGAAGATAGTAGGAAAAGTGAGAAGTTGAGAAGATGACAAGGCAATACAGCCTACTGCATGGGTAACTATCTTCAGGCGTCAGACAGTGCTGTGGGAGTTGGGTGTTTAGCAGAGTGAGGGCATATGGGGAGAAACTCTGTCTAGTTCTTTTGCCATGCAATGCCCTATAGTGGCACTGCATGCCAAAACAGCTAGTATTGGAGCATTCACAACTTCTGGAGGAAAGTTGTTCCACTGATTAATTGTTCTGTCAGGATATTTCTTTTTAGTTCTAGGTTGCTTCTCTCCTTGATTAGTTTCCACCCATTGCTTCTCGTCCTGCCCTCTGGTGCTTTGGAGAATAGGTTTCCTCCCTCTTTCTGGCAGCCCCTGAGATATTTGAACATTGCTATCATGTCACCCCCAGTCCTCCTTTTCATTAAATTAGACTCCTGTTTCTATTTCTGTCCCAATTTTTTCCCTTTCTTTTCCCCAAAGTGTCAGTGTTGCAATTAAGTCTTTTTCAGAAGTAGCTTTTACTTACAAATCATGCCTAATCCTGCGTTCTAGGATCCTCATGAATACACCTGAATCATACTTGGCCTTCTGAAACTTGATGAAACCAGCTTTCTCCTGTGGGGAGCTAATGGATGTGGATGCATTTCCTGGGACCTAGTGGGTCAAGCAGCTTCTGTCAGCAAGTAGAACTTCATATAAAAAGCTCTCAAAATATTCTTGCCTCCAAAAACGAATACCACTCAGAACCTGCCTTGTTTGCAAGGTTAAACTATGTTAGTGGTGAAAACTTAGAAAGCTAGCAATTCTTTACTGCTGGTATTTTTAATTACAGCTCTTTGGGCTTCACAAAGCGGTTGTAGTTTGAAAATTCTACTTATCCAGAGCTTCCGTACATGCACCAGTTTGCCCATTCCTTTGGCTGGGGTCTCAGCCTGCCATCATTAAGGCAGCCCATCTGCTCTCACCTAGAGGATGAACAAAAATGATCTTCCTTGGGAAAGCAAAAAAGATTCCCATTCTTATGCAGGACCTACTGAAAGAGCGTGTGATCAGTCCCGGAAGTGCATCCAAAGGACGAATCTTTTTAGTGCTTCTGCTTTTAGGGCCCATCTGCTTTAGGCTGGAGCTAAATAATCCAGCCACTCTATCAGAACAGGACATGTCTGGAGATGTTATGTCACCCCAGCCTCCAAACTCAAGGCAGAGGGCTGGCGGTGGTAGAGCTGCAGAAAGAGGCAGGTAAAGTCTTTGACCCTTTCATCCTCCTAGCTTCCCATCAGTGGAAGCATCTTTCCTCGGGTTTTGTTGTTTTTCCAGATAGTAAACAGAGGACTTGAACAGTTTGATTGATTTCTATCTTTGTAGATAATTAGAAATAAGAATTACATTATATTTATTTACCACAAATTTTGGTACAACATTTATGAAACTCATAACATGTATGCCCTCTGCTTGACTGTTTCTGTATGTATGTGAGAAAGTGGTTGGACTCAAAAGTTTGTAAGAGATGCTTTGGAGGGAACCCTGGAAGGATTTGCAAGTTGATTTTGTAAGCATTCCCAGCCTCCTTCCCAGCCTGCTTTCTTTCACCATCTGATAATGGGCATTGGGCTCCACTTCAGTGGTGGATTGCAGGCGGTATGCCCCGGTACAGGCGCACTGGAGCCTGCCCAGAGCACCGGATACCGTTCCGGTACAATGCTCCGGAGGGCCCACCTGCCTGCCCGAGCTCCTTACCTGTCTTTTAAAGCTTCCGCGTACATGCATGGCATGTACAGCGCCTACATGACGCTCTCCTGAGCAGCTGGAGCGTTGTGGAGGCTCGCGGAGGCGGTAAGACACATGCGCACGCTGCGCGTGTCGATGTGGACACCGCCGGGCCCCTTCCAACCGTACCGGTTGGAATGGGATCCAAACCCCACCACTGCTCCAGTTCATCCACTTAATATGGCACCATTCTTGCAATGTACAAGAAGTAGTTTTCTTCAGCTTAATTTGTTTTCATTGTGAAATTTTGTTTCACAATTCGTACTTTTCTAAAATATTGGAAATTTTTCTATAGGCTGGAGTATGTTACTTATTGTAAATTTAGCTCGTGATCAGGCATTTCATCAGCTCAGATAAATGGAAGTCAAGGTATGCTTAAAAAGTATTCAACCAGTATAAATTGCCTTCATTTAAAGCAAACATTTAAAATCTCTGCATGAAAAACACAGCACATTGAGCTTTGGAAAATAACCATTCTGTGACAAAAATAGGAGTTGTATAATATGTGAGATTTTAGACATATCTTTCTAATTATTTAGCCAAAAAGGTGATAGTCCTTTTCCTCACAACAGAAGTAAGGATCGTGTAACACGAAGTAAAATGTCTACTCTTGACTCATATTGTGATTTTTTTCCCTATGAAGTTCTGTATAACAAATAACTTTCCAGGGGTTTCTGGTGCTGAAAGAGCTGCAAATTCCCTTTCCACAGCTTTACCCACAGATGACATTGAGGCCTCCCCTCTCCCGCTCTCCCTGCCCCCCTGCCTCCTTCTCCTGGCTTCTGACTCCTCCTTTGCCTACTTCACAGGCCGGTTCTTTGATGAGAACGAGACCCCTGTTGATCCTCAGCATGGATCTAAACTGGCGGATTATAATGGGGATGATGGGAACGTGGGTGAGTATGAGGCAGACAAGCAGGCTGAGCTGGCCTACAATGAGGAAGAGGATGGTGATGGTGGTGAAGAAGACGTCCAAGGTGAGCTTGGGCCTTGTCTCCATCCCATTCACTTAACTTCATCATGTAAAAAACTCTGAGATTTGTGTACTTCCATTATTTAGCTGATAGGAAGAGACTTTGACACCTGAGATTTGACTATCTTTTGGAGTACTATTGGGGTGGAATGTTTCCAAAATTGAAGCTGGTTTCTTGAAACTGCTTTTTTAAAAATCAAATTTATTTATGAAGTTTGGTATTGTGTATGAAAGGGTAGATCTAGCAGCTGATCTTAAATTGGAGTGTATAATTGAACTTACAGTACTCTGCTTTGGAGCAACTAGCTGGGATTTTGAGCCCACTCTAGCAGAAACGATGTAGACTGTGATCTTTCAAAGCAAGCAAGGATAGGTCTAAGGAGATTCTCAGCTACCCAGGTCATGGCTGTCCCAAAGGTGCTTTTTCAAGAGGCAACTGGACTTTCTAGTTTTTCTTTGAAGACATTTCACTTCTTATCCAAGAAGCATCTTCAGCTCTAAGCTGAAGAAGCTTCATGGAAAACATCTTTGGAATAAGCAAGGACAATTTAATTAGTCTTCAAGGTGCCACAGAGTGCATTTGCTGCAGAAAACCCCTGTGAGGCATTTAACCCAAAGGGCAGAGGGAACCCAGTGATCCACAAGTTCATGGATTTAAAAATCCACCAATACTGACACAACAAGCCACTAGCATATAAAAAGAGCAAACTTCATTCCCCGCTAGCACTGAAAATATTAGCTAGTTGAGTAATAAAATCTCCGCAAGAAAACACCAATCCTGAGCTTCAAATATTGTCTTCTATTGGATTTAGAAAGGATCTCTCTAATAGGATGAGAGGGGAACATTAAATGATGAAGTGAAAGGTGAGATTATAAAACACAAGACTGCTGAAATGTTTCTGTTCTCTGGAATGTCTGGCCAAATCAGGGGGGAGTAATTGGCAGATGGCATGTGCCTCACTGTAGCCAGAGCAGCTGGGTCTGAAAATTGGACTCATTTGGAAGGAAGCGTGTAAGGCAAAAGGGGGGAGGGGCAGCCAGTTTTATAAAACATAAAGCAACTTTGTCCCCTCAAGACCAGGCAGGAGACATCTTGAAATCACTTGCTCTGGGTCATGTGACTATGGGGCTTCAGATGGAGCAGCTGGCCAGGTGCCAAATCATGGCCTTCCCATAGGGGTCATTGGGGAAACTTGGTCTCAATCTTCCTTTCTAGTCCAACTTCAGACTGCATCTTCCTTCGACCAGCTTATTCCTGCATGCCACATTGCATCCTGTTCTCTTCAGTTTTGAATCAGATAAACTGAGAAGTCCCAGCCTCCTTTACATAATTTATTTTCTGTTTTGTTAGATAGGAAAGTAAAAAACCCCAAAACCAACCGGTCCAGTTTTCTGTTAAGGACAGGTCTAATGGGCAAATTGTTTAATTCCCAAACCAAGGTGGGGGGAAAGGGGGAGGGCTGAGAAATCTGGACTCATCCATTGCATTGATGTTCCAGTAGTACAGCACCCCAATAATCCCACTCAGGTGTGGAAAGGGAAAAGCAGCCTTTGCAGCTAGATGTTCCTCCATGCCTCCCCTCTTCTCCCCCATTGGTGGGAGAGAAACTGAAGGTTGGTTTTCCTCCTTGCGTTGCAGATGATGAGGAGAGGGAGCTCCAAATGGATCTGGTGGACTATGGGAAACCACGCTTCAATGATGTCCTTTAAAGGCCTGATGTCTTTCTTCTGAGAGATGGCGCATAAGACCCAGGAGGCCAGAGACAGTGCGCTGTTTGACCTGAAAGGTAACATGCAGTGATGTGCATATGGTGGGTTTCAGCCCTTTGCAAGTAAGAGATGCTTTGTCCTAGAAGGTGAGCAGTGGATAGTTACTGGACTGGGCTGTAAGACTGTTCCTTTTCTGTAATTTTTGTGTTAATAATTAACATTGCAAAATAATTTTACATGTTTCTGAAATAAAGTGAACGTGTACAGTTTGTATCACATACATAGTCATGACTTCATTGCAGAAAAAAATATATAGATGGAACATTGAAGCAGCAATGCATTGAATTCATGCAAGCAAATTGTTTTCTCTTGTCTTGTGACTTGTATTATATGATAACAATTCATTTTGAAAAAATAAGACTGAAAATATATGATAGGTGTTTATGAAGGAATTTTGTTTAACACAACTCTGCAAGGTCTGTGTGGCAGTGACACTATACGGGAAGTTCGTCCTAGGAGAGTGACTGATGTTACCCATAGCAAATGTTTTGCAAACTATTCTCATTTTATATATAAATATATTTTATTAGGCTCTAAATCAACAAACAGTATTTTGAGCATTCGAAAGCTAGTCTGCTAACTCACGTTTTTCTTTACAGCAGTGGCCTTTGATTGTATGCAATGATAGATTAATTTATTTAAACTTGCTTAAAACTGTCACCTTGCATCTTTTAAATTTGTTCTCTCGAAACCTGTTGTATCCAGCTCCTGAGTGATGCTCAGTTCTTTTTAAGGAAAGTACTGCTGGAGAGATTCTGCATGAAAATGGGAAAAGGGCCCAGAGGCATGCATGTACAGCCAAGGGCATCTTCCGTCTCCTGGGTAGGGGAGGGCCAGATGCAGCGAGTACTTTTGGACGTTCAGAGCAACGGTCACGTCCTGACAGTGACAGGCTATTAACCCAGACAATTTTATCAGCAAGGGCTACTGGGAATAAAACCTTTAAGCCCTCCATGAACAGGGTTGATCTTTCACTACAGATCGTTCTTACTTAATGACAGTGGTTGGGAGTGGAAATTCCTAATGCCGTTGCTAAGCAAGTCATAAAGTGTAATGTGACATGAACATGCTACTTAGGTTGGCAGCTTCAACATTTCAGGCTGCCATTGTTAAATGAATTCTGTGGTGGTGTTAATTGCAATCCACATGGTTGCCCCTTGTACCCTCCTACTGCTTTCCCAATTGACTGCGATTGTCGGAAGCAAGCAGTGAAGACCACAAATAGTAATTAATTTTTTTTTAAAAAAGTGACTGCAGAAACATGGGATGCTGCAAAATTATAATTGAGTCAGTTGCTGAACACCCAGATCGAGATCACACGACTGCAGGTGTGCTTTGACCATTGTAAGTACAAGGACAGCTTGGCTCAGTGCTGTTGTAAATTGAGTTACTGAATGAGTGGTCATTAAGCGAGGACCACCTGTATTTCTGTGCTCAGGTTAAAGTTCATTCTTGATGAATAAAGTCCATTTGTGATCATTGCATTACACTGAATTTCATTAGAAAATCATTCATTTCTGACAATTAAAATAGAAGTCTCTACCTGGGATTCTTTTGAGCCATAAGACGAAAGCAGGGCCCCTCAAGGGGAATTGTTCTGCCTGAAATGTTTCTTTTTATGCTGTAAAAAACTGCTGTGTTTACACATAAATATAAGGCTGAATCTGCAGCCCTGTCCTGTTCTTCCTACCCCTCACTCCCCAGTCTGTCTTTATGTTGCAACTGTTGAACTGACAAGACTATTTCCAAAGCTAGGTGTAATTTTGTAAAGAATCTGCTGTTGAAATTGAACATTTAATAGAGTTTAATAAAAGCTTAATATAGCTTCTGTGTCTGCCTTTGTGTTACTTTCTCCTCCTGGCAATGCAGTTAAGGGAAATGAAGATTTCCCACATCTTCAACAAAATTTTGCGTTTAACACAGTTGCTTATGTGTACATGTTTTATTTAAATATAACCCCTTACATTTCTCTCTGTAGATGTGTGTTTGGTCAACTCTGCCCAGTTTTCCAACCTCTCCAGATTAATTACAAACTTCATTTCCCTAATTTCCCTTCCATTTCATTGTCCTGCTCGCTGCAAGTGTTGAATGCTGGCCCCAAGATTGAGCCCCATCGGTCACTCCTCCTCCACCTCCCTATGCAGCCATTCGTGTTGACCAGGAGCCTTCGGTGCACGTCTGGCCCTTCTGCCTGCCACTCGGCTCGGTGGGGGTTGGCCACGCATCGTGCAGGCGCAGCCTCTGCCAGGGCATCTACCAGGGCGCTCCGTGCTCCGGTTCCCGCCCAGGAAAGAGGCGCCAGATCCCGGGGCGCCCCCAGGGGGTCTCAGCCACCCATTTCCAGCAGGGGAAGGCTTGCTGAAGACGGGAGACCTCCACGGCGCCCCCGGGTCTGCTGGAGCATCTCCCTGAGCTCGAGGCTCCTCTCCTGCAAAGCCTCCCCGGGAGCCTTCGCCCTCCTCCCGCCTTGCGCCCCCTCCGAGGGGCAGCGTCCCTGGCGGCCAAGGGCTTCTCCGAGAGCAGTCTTTTTCCGCGCCAGAGGCCGGGGGGGAAGGAAGGCCTCGGCCCTCCCGCTCCCCGAAAGCACCGCCGCCGGAGAAGTGCTTCTTCCGCCGCTGGCCCCGCCCCCGCGCCTGCGCAGTGTGGGCGTCGGGCAGGCCGCCGGGCTCGCGCCTCCCCTCCCCCGCCAGCATCCGGGTCCTTCCGCGCGGTGCAGCAGGTCGGTAGGCGGGAAATGGCGACCGGCGGCTGCGGGGGCTGCTGAGCGCGACCGAGACCGGCGGGAGCGGCGGAGGCGGCGCCGGCGCTTTGTGCGAGCCGCGCGGCGGGGGAGGCCTGCGGGGCCTGGGCTGCCCTGCCGCCGCGGGGCCGGTCTCCGGCGGCGGGGAGGCGCCCGACTGCCCCACCTTCCCTCGGCGCTTCACAGGTAACGGCCGCCAGCGGCGCGGGAGAGAGGCGGCGGCCGCGGCGGGCCCGGGGAGCGCGCCCTTCGCCCGGGGCTCCCGCGCAGGCCTTGCGCCGCCCCCTCGGCCTAGGCCGAGCTTCCCGCCGCGGCCGTCTCTATTGCTCTGCCCGCGGGCGCCGCCGGGCGGGTGAGCGCGCTTGCCGCCTGCGCCGCGGCCGGTGGGTCCCGGCGGGCACTTAGCAACGGGGCCGGCGAGGAGAGCGGGAAGCGGCGCCCCAAGGTCATCGGCGCGCGGGGAGCCTCCGCCGGCCGATCCCTCCAGGAGCCCCCGGAGGGTCGCCGAGCCCCGGGGAAGCGCTCTTGCCTCCCGGGCGGCGGCGGGAGCCCTCAGGATCGGGGAGCCGCCTTTGTTCCCCGCGGCGCAGCGCCCGGGAGGCGGTTGGCCCGATGAGCCTGGTAGCCGGGACGCCGGTGGGGGGGGGCGGGGATGGCGCCATCCCGGTAGGCGGGGAGCCCGAGACCCCCGGAGGAGGAGCCGGCGCGGAGTTTGCCCCTCTCGGGCCGCTCCACCTGCTCGCCGTCGGGTGGGGGACGGCGGCCAAGCCGGTAGTTTCAAAGCGCTGCCCGGATGGTTCGATTTCAGTTTTGCCCCGACTGCTCCCCGAAGCCCCCCGGCCCTTTCACTCCGTCCACCCGCGCACAGAAACCGGCTCGCCAGCATTTGGCCCGAGGGAGGAAACGGGGAGGAAAAGTGGAAACGGGAAGCGAAGGGCGATGGAGGCTTGGCGGAGACTTAGGCGGTGGGAGAGGGAGGTGGGGCGAGTAAACTGCGTGCCTGGAGAATGAGGACCGAAGAGCAGGGAGAGTTTAACTTGGAAGGTTTCTGGAGCTAAGGAAGCGGCGCTTCCCTCGCTGTGCATAAGGACAGGACAGTTTAAAGACTCTTCTAGGGTGCTTTTCAAATCTATTTGCTCACCAATTATTGTTTGCGTTTACTGGACAAATAACTTAATCTCTCTTTTCCATTTCTCCACTAGTAAAATGGGAATAATTCATCACAAACTGCTGGTGCTGCAAGGGTTAATTACTTAATATTATAAAGGGATTCGAAGATTAAAAAGGCCCTACAAGTAAGTTACTAAAGTTCATATTAGCCATTAAAGTGTAATAGTGATTTTTATTCATTCTATATTTGAAGAAATGGAGTTTGTGATGAATGTTGTTTTTGGGTGGGAGAAGAATAAACACTGTGTGTTTTGCCTTTCCTGTTCATCGTAAGCCTAATTTAAATGTTGCTTTAGTGACATGCATGCATTACGCCTTCTCCTGAGCTATTACTTAACGCTTCAAGGAATAGTTTTTATAAATGTAGTCATCAGGGGTTTATGAATTTTCACTTGGCATGGTAGCTGGCCATAATTTGTGGCCATGAGTAATCCTTCTTCACCACCATATCCTCTGTGTATGCCAAATAACTGGGAGTCTCTCAGTTTGCTCTGGGCATTGGGAGAGAGAGAGGCTGACTAAAGCTGTTGAAGTTTGTGCCTGCTGTCAAACTGAATAGAAAAAAAAGCATAAGCTACTGCTGCTTTTTCTCCTAAACTTGCTGGAGTTCTGTCCGTGATCCCTTGGGTCTGGTCCCGGTTAGCCAGGCCCCAGTATCCCAGTGGAGGGCACAGAAGGAAGTTAGTCCCCTCTGAAAGGGAAGTGAGGGAAGTTCATAAGGAAGGAAGGCAACTCACCCAAAAGGAGTGATGGAGTCTGCAGAATGCACTGCAGAAATGTTGGATGTCATAGTGGCCAAGGGATCCGAGGGTTGTAGGATATATAGTACCACATCTTTTGAGGCCCCCAGATGATGGAAAGCTCCAGTGGACAAGAAAAAAATAGGTTTTTCTCCCCCAAGAAGGAAATTAGAATCCAGAAAAAAATAAACTTGGAAAATTGTGTTATATTACATTATCTACCCTTTATTGTTCTGACTGGCAGTGGCTCTCCAAAATCAAAATGGCAATTCTTTCCCATTAACTGCCCTGCAATTATTTCACTTGGCAATTAACTCCTAGACCTTTTGCATGTACCTCTGTCACAGTTTGGGTAAAAGAAGTCCTTGAGGTCTATTGGGAAGGTAGACTTATGCTTTGAGAGTATTGTGTGTTTTCTTGTTGAGCACACGTAAAGGACAAGGGCACACTTTATTTGCTTTCTTACAAACATTTGTAGCCTTGCTTTCTGTACCTTCAGGTACCCTGTTCTCTTAGAGGCTTGGCTGCTGGACTGCATGCCAGTTAGTTCAATTGACTTGGGTAATTGCTTTGATTCTTTAGATGTTTTCTTCTTAGCTAGAAAATGAAATATTCTTAACTTTTTTGAAACACTATTTTAGTTGGTCGATGGTTTTATTTTTATTTAGAAGTGACTGGTACTGGTTTGTGAAATCTTATTCTGCTTCAGCTTTTTAAGTAATGTTGTACTCCATTAATGTACTTAATCATGTCAAAAAATAAATATACATCTTGTAAAGTTGCTTTCTGTTTTTAAGAGAAATATTTTTAAAAATATCAATATTTTATCTTTAAAGTATATAAAAGGCAAAGATAATATACCGGCAGTCCTCCACTTACAACTATTTATTTAGTGAAATTACAACAGCACTGAAAAAGGTGATTTATGACCATTTCCCCACTCTTATGACTATTGCAGCATCCCCATAGCCACATGATTAAAATTGGATGCTTGGCACCTGGACTATATGACGATTGCAGTGTCTGGGACCTTTGACAAGCAATGTCAATGGGGAAGCCAGATTTACTTAACAATTAAGTTACTTAACAACTGCAGTGATCAACTTAACAACTGAAGCAAGAAAGGTTGTAAAATGGGGCACAATTCATTTAACAACCATCTTGCTTAGCAACAGAAATATTGGGTATATTATTGTTGTACGTTGAGGACTACCTGTAATAGAAAAAAAATAAACACTGATTTTGCAATCGTTCAACAAAAAACTAAGAAATATGTCATTTTGTTCTGTAGAAGAAGTAAGCAGACTTCTTGACTCTAATACCTGGTTGCCCCTTTGGCAGAAACAGCCTTAAATATGCAGATTTGTTGCTGAAAAAAGGGAAAAAACGTGATTTATGGAGTTCGATGATAGGAAAGAGTAAACAATGAACAAAAGGAAATTATGGCAGATTTTAGTCCACTATTTATAGCCTACTTTAGGGGACGCTGCTCATCTCCGTTTCAAGACCATTCATTGAGTTAGTGCTGTCTGAAGATTTTTCCATGGTCATGTGGCCAGCATGACATCACAGAACACTGTTGCCTTCCCACCGAAGTACTACCTGTTTATCTACTTGCATTTGCATGCTTTCAAACTGTTAGGCTGGCAAGAGCTGGAGTGAGGACGGGAGTTCACTCTTTCATAGGGAGCTTGGCTCTTGAACCTGGGCTGCTGATTTTCCAGCTGACAAGCCTAGCATTTTAACTTCTGAGCCATCCTGCTGCCCAAGTAATCTTAGAGAAGGTAAAATATAAATGTAACTGCTATTAAGAAAAAAAGCCCACTTCTTTATAACTTACTCTATTCCACCCTTTTTTACATTTTACTTACTAATTCCCTTTGTTTTTTGTTACAAAATGTATTTAATGCAAATTATATACAAGAAAAGGAACATCCTTAAGTAGTAGAGTTATCCTTAACAATAACTCTATCATGCACTAGGAGGAATATTTTCCCTAAAGGTACAGAAAGCAAGGCTACAAATGTTTGTAAGAAAGCAAATAAAGTGTGCCCTTGTCCTTTACGTGTGCTCAACAAGGAAACACACAATACTCTCAAAGCATAAGTCCACCTTCCCAATAGACCTCCTCAAAGACTTCTTTTACCCAAACTGTGACATAGGTACATGCAAAAGGTC